AAGTTCGGTCATCAGGGAGGGACTCGGAGTTGAGCCGATCCTCCTTCGCGTCGAAAGGAGCCAGTTGAGGTGGTTCGGGCACCTAGTTAGGATGCCACCTGGGCGCCTCCCTAGGGAGGTGTTCCAGGCACGTCCAGCTGGGAAGAGACCAAGGGGTAGACCTATGACCAGGTGGAGGGATTATATCTCTTCGCTGGCCTGGGAGCGCCTTGGGATCCCCCAGTCAGAGCTGGTTGATGTCGCCAGGGAAAATAAAGTTTGGGGCTCTCTGCTGGAACTGTTACCCCCGCGACCCGACCACGGATAAGCGGGAGAAGATGGATGGATGGATGGATGTCTTCAGTACCATACAGTAACTATATGTTCATGTCATCTTTACTCTCAGTAAAGTCATTGTGTCTGATACTGTTATGAGTATTGAGAATAAACCTATTTGTGTGTTTCCACATTGCATGTGTTCATTCATAGTCCATATTTACAGCGTGCTACAAATGATAATGCCTAAAACGTTGACTTGAATGTCTTGTTTATTAATCAACTAATGGACAGTGTTTCAATTCAGTTCATGTAAGCCTTACACACACATTCCTCTTTTGAGCGTCTAGTGATTATGGCCTGCATGTCTTTCTGTTCTAACTCAGCTGTCAGCTTCTTAGCAGTTTAGACAAACATCAAATTCATAATGTAGACTAGTTGGACAAAATAATGCTTAACAACTGTTCCATTACTGTGTGAACTGTTTTAGGGGTCGACTGTATGATATATCGTTCTCCCGCTTGCTGCTGGGTGCAGGTGAAAGTAGGACGACAGTTCTGTTCACATCGCTGACATTTGTCACAGGTAAATCTTGCAGGTATGCAACAAACATGACGTTGTTCAATGGTTGTCACACAGCGACAAGCTGGACACTGGATTTGCCGACACAGTACAAACCGGAAGTCAGCTAAATAAGGTTATGCACAGAGCTTGCATACTTCTATTAATCTCTATAAACGCATATGTGCATGTGAATGCAGAAATAAACGTATCCTCGTCAGCATGGGCGCCGGAAGCAGGGGGGCCAAGGGTCGTCAGACTTCTGGGTCTTTTACAGCATTGCCATTATATCCTTGTGTCTTTTATTTTGAAATATGTTCTTTAACTTCCGGTCCACCGGACTGCTTTTCTTCATTCTTCAAAACAAAACAGAACATTTAATGAAGTTGTTATCAAAAACCAAAACCGGACCTTTCTTTAATTAGGTGTTCTCGTTATCCGTCTTTTGATTCGGACAATAAAAACGGGAAAAATGCTTTGTTTCTCATGACATTCTCACTGCTGTCCCAAATGTTTTAAACCTTGGGCAGACAAGCTGTTCACACACACACACCCACACACGTGCACACACACACACACACGCACACACACACACACACACACACACACTTTGGATGAGTATTCACCTTATCCACATTGTAAATTGTTGCCTTCTTTAGAGTTATTGGTAATTCAGGATTAATTATTAAATTAAATGTGGTACATAAGATAAAATAAATAAAACTTTGACTTGATAATTTCGTTCACAACATTAATAATAATAATAATAATATATTTTATTTATAAGCGCACTTTTCATTTGCGTAAATAAAACTCAAAGTGCTACAAAATTAAAAATTAAAAAGGGTGAAACAAAACAATAAAAACAATAAAAAACCATTTAAAAACAATTAAAACAACATAATAAAAGCTGTGACATTCATGCCGGCATGGCATACTGTGGGGGATTTAAAAATCTAGTTAAAGGCTATTCTAAAAAGATGTGTTTTTAGGTCTTTTTTGAAAGCCTCCACAGTCTGTGATGTCCTCAGCTGGTTTGGGAGGGCATTCCACAGTCTCGGAGCAGCGGAGCAGAAGGCTCGGTCTCCCATGGTCTTCAGTTTTGTCCTTGGTGGGATGAGGAGGTTTGCCTTTACTGAACGTAGGTTCCTCGTGGAGGTCCATATATGCACTGATGAGTGAAGAGGGTGATTTTGTAGTCAATCCTGAGTGAGACCGGGAGCCAGTACAGTGATTTGAGGATGGGTGTGATGTGTTCGTACTTCCGCACTCTCATCAGGATCCTAGCAGCGGTGTTTTGGATGTATTGCAGCTTCTGGATGTTCTTGCTAGGAATCCCAATGAGAAGTGCATTACAGCCAGCCTGGAGGAGACAAAGGCGTGGACAAGCTTTTCAGCATCTGGCAGACTGAGTGTGGGGCGGAGTTTCGCAATATTTCTCAAGTGGTAGAAAGAGGTCTTGCATATTTGCTTGATGTGGGCCTCAAAGGTCAGGTGAGGATCCATTTTAACTCCCAGATTGGTAACCGTTGGTGAGAGTGGAATGTTCTGACCGGAGAAGGTGATGCTGGTGATGGCGGATGAACGGACCTGATGTGGAGTGCCAATAAGAATGGCTTCAGTCTTGGAGCTGTTTAGCTGGAGAAAGTTGTTCTTCATCCACACCTTTATCTCCTCCAGGCATGTGGTTATTGTGGATGATGGCAGAGGTGCAGAGGGGGTTGGGTTTGCTCTGATGTAGAGCTGCGTGTCATCAGCATAGCAATGGAAAGATATTCCATGCCGGCTGATGACACAACCAAGGGGGGATACGTATATGGTGAAAAGGGTGGAGCCGAGGACTGATCCTTGGGGGACACCGCAAGTCACAGAGTGAGTTCTTGATTTAGCCGCTCCCAAGGTGACATGCTCAGTCCTCCCGGTGAGATAGGAGGTGAACCAGTTTAAGGCAGAGTCAGAGAGTCCAATTGTAGTGTGAAGACGGTGGAGTAGGATGTCATGGTCGACGGTATCAAATGCTGCAGTTAGTCTAGACATTAGACCTGTCCTCTAATCTCTACTAGAATAAGATAAGTGTGCATGTTTGGGTGTTTTAACACTCCCGTAATGTATCTTGTTATCCTTTTCATTACAGAGCTGGGAAAATGGTGTATTGCTTAGATTCTGATCCGTGCATGTCCAATTTTGACTGACTTTAGTTCTAATGTTAATGTTAATTTAACTTCAACCCATAAGTGATTATTTAAATTAACTCAACATTTCACCTGATGATGGATTAGTGTTCCACATTTTTCCCACTGATTTGTTTTAAAATTGGGCCAAAGGTAAAGAGAGACATTGATGACCTTTTGTCCCTTTTGTTGGTACGTGGTTCCATTTTGTCTATGGCCTTGGACGGCTTCACTAGAGGTCACCCAGTTCTGCCCTGCTACAGTCCGGCTAAGTGCAGTCGCAGAGATGCTATGGCTGCTCTACATGAAATTACATTAATGGTCTGGTCCAAGAATGGACACCATTTCCTGCTCCCAGAGAGAATGATGCTCCTCAAACTGAACATTACAGCCGTTGATACTGTCTCACATGGGTCTGCTCCCCCCACCGAGCCATGAACTGAAAGCTTGACATCTGCTTTGAACACCTGGAAGCCTCCCTGTCACACCAGCACCAACCCTTGGGTCAGTCAGATGAGACTAACGGCTTCACTTAGGGCATTTGGTTCAGATGCATGACTCTCGTTACCGCAGAGTGGGTTGTTTGTTTTTTAAGGCTATTCATGCTGCTATGCAGAGGATGCCTGTAAGTTGGCGAGCTGTTAAAAGCCCCTACTATTGTTTCATATAGGCCTAATGTCAGGGGTCCTTTACTGTCTAGTTCTACATGTATTCACATTATATAGACGATGTTTCCACCTGGTCAAACTAGAGGCTGCACGGAACTCAGGCTACAATACAACCATTCTGTTCTGCTCTACCGATTCAATTGAAAGATTCTGCATCGAAACAATTAGCTTTTATTGTTTCCAATGATAACGTCACCTTAAGTGGAGGAATGCAAACCTGTTTTCAAATGTAAGGTTTTGATTTTGTTTGACATTTCTCAGTAATGACACCCTCAGACACCCACTATCATTCATGCTGCCATCGGTAGTGACTCAGATGTTAAGGGGGATGAAGCTTTTCCTCCCAAATCAGATATGCTTTGTTTTTCAACAAATGTATGCATTTCCTGCATAATATATGTTTCTCACAATTGTTTTTTGTAAGCTGCACACAGGTGATACTGAGTCTTCTCGATTAATGGATTACGAACTATACCATGCTTACATGGACTCCTGAGTTATTATTTCATATGTGACATATGTAAGAAAAGGGAGGGAAGGGTCAATTATATTGAGTAATTGATTTTATATTGGGTCATTTATTTCTCAAACCTATGTTTTATGGAAGAGGAAATGTATTTCTGATAAACTAATATGTTATCAAAAGGTAAATGGTGAATGAATATAACATTTAGAATAATTGAGAAGGGGTTATATCCACAGGGACAAGCTCACCTTTAATTTAAAATAACATTTCTCTGCTTTGGACTGATGAGTATATGATTCTTCCCCAGTGAGATGATAGTGAACTTGTCATGAAAAATTCATGGAATATCAGTGAACCATATTCATGAACAGCTCATAAACAGCTCATAACAAAGTTGATGAACTGTTCATGAAATGTGCATGAACATTAAATGGCACTAGGGCAGTTCATGAACTACTCATGAAACTTCTGTGCTGGAATGGTTCATGAACAATTCATGGAATATGGTTTTAGGCAGGTTCATGAACAATTCATGAAATGGAGTTTTCAGTGAGTGTGTAGGGATATTCAGTATTCAACCAAGAACATTTCAAGAATTGTTCATGAATTAACCATGGTTCATGAACATATCAAGAACTGTTCATAACAACTTAATGAACAGTTCATGAACAGTTCATACCCAGTCACTGAATATAATTCAATGGCTGGCTATGAACTGTTCATGAACTGTTCATGAACTGTTCATGTACATGAACTGTTCATGAACCATTGACTGTGGGTCAATTGGCAACCATAGAAAACAACAATTATGTCAATCACAATGGAACTTTACTCACCACTATGTAATTAACAAACAAACATACATGTATACAGGTGGAGCACTACAATTAATCCTATCACTATTTGAAGCAGAGTTCTTGACACTCAGCTGCCCGCCGCCCGGTGTTCACTCACTGGCAGGTTCACTGTCACAGTCACTGGCAGTCGGGTGTCTCCAGACGCTAACGTTGTACCCAGTTGGGTCCCGAAGTTCGGACCGGCAACTGAGTGGGGCGAGTCTGGAGACTCCTCAGTGTTCATTCACTCAGGCAGAACTTCACTCACAGTCACTGGTAGTCGGGTGTGTCCAGATGCTAACGTTGTACACAGTTGGGTCCCGGAGTTCGGACCCAACTGAGTGGGGCGAGTCTGGAGACTCGGACCACCCTCCTCAGTGTTCACTCACTGGCAGGTTTCTTCCTCAGTGCCTTTTGAAGGTTTTGTACCTTCCCCATGAAGGTGCTGTGGGAGACCCCACACCTCTTCCTGACCTGCTGCTCCAGCTGCTGGAAGCGAGCCTGGTCGAGGGCAGGTCTCGGGTCACCGGGCGTCACCTTGCAGGTCTTCTTCCCCGTCAGCGAGTGGGTGCGGAGTTCATCTGCGCTGAAAACCTTCAGGGCCAGGATCTTGACAACCTCCAGCAGGTCCTTCTCCCCCGCAGCCAAATGGGAGACACTGGCCTCCAGTGACGTGATGTTCTGCCCGTTGCACATCTCCTCTGCTGGAGCTGCATCGACGGCGGCGGGCTGTTTGGCAGGAGCGCCACCATCCTCCAGTGTGCGCATCCTCTTCTTCAGGCTCTTGTAGGACTTCTCTATCACCTTCACCGTCTCCTCCAGCTGGTGTATCCTTTTCCTGTAAAGATATTAAAAAATAAAATGTAATAGCCACATTTTGAAGAGTAGAGTTCCTTTGGCTTAATTAGTTTAACAATTCAACAACAACAAATTATATTATAATATTAACACATGATAAGGGCAGTTAAGGGGCAATTTCACTCTAGAGTACTCTCAAAGGAAACGCTTACATTTGTTTCCCCCAAAAAATGTGTTTGCAATGTTTGTCCATCATAGCCTAATTAAAATCCTAATTCAAATGCTAGTTACCACAGGATTTTTGAAAGAAATGTATGTAAAGGGTTAAACTAGTTCTGAGTAAATTCTTACACACCTGTCGTGATCAGCCAGGGACCCGTCTTTGGCAGTCTTGGAGCTGGTGGCCTTGGCTGTAGGCTGAGGCAGAGGCAGAGGGGCGGAAGCTGCATCAAGACGTGCTGCTGCATTGGTGGCGCCCACAGTTTTCTTTATCTGGAGACGATTTCTGTAACGATATTAAAAATATAAAATGTATTAGCATTTTGAACACTCGTGAGTTCCTTTGGCATTTTTTGGAATGTTTGTCAACTTAATAGTTTAATTAATTATAAAAATAATTATCGCAGGATAACAAGTTACCACTTCCAAATTCACGGGATATAAAACTGGGTATTGGTTTTGAGTACATTCCTGCATACCTTTCCTGACCAGAAGCCTCTCTACGTGGGGCGGCACTGCCATTCACACTGGTCTTGGACTTCGACACACTGTGGGTGACACTGGCACTCAGAGGGTGCCACTCGACAGGCTCTGTCTCTGAGTCTGTCTCACTGTCGCTGTGAGTTGCTGGCACATGCTGACGACCCTCCAGGTAGTCCTGCTCAAGCTGTGCCTTATTTTCTGCAATAAATAAAAATGTGGATTAATTTATTTTAAATGAAAATGGCCAGTCAGTCTGTCTCAGTCCATGCAGATGAAAGTACAGTGACTGTGCCAAAGTCTGTGGTAGTCTATTCTAGTCTACAGACTACACATCCCACAGAACATGTTCATGTAAGTGTAGTACTTTTTGTGTAGATAAATACTGCTGTTACAAGTCTACTGTAAATCTTTCTTTCTCTTTTTGTTGGTAGTAGGACAGGAATGTGACCGGAATTTGAAACAACATTTAGAGAGTAGAGACACTCAATAATATCACCAGTACACTTAACAGTGCCTCCTCTTTCCACCCATACTTGGGGGATGACCTCGAGGTTGCATCCGCCAGAGTTTTTGTTACTTAAATTAGTGGTGGATGGAACAATAATTCAGCAGCGAACTTGAAACACCTCTATTATCGCCCACCTAAAACGCGTTCACAGGCTGACACAGCAGCTGAAGTGTATGCTCCAAAATACATGGCTATGTTTTATGTGCATTGCAGGTCCAGTGAAAAGAAAGACAAAACTCTACAAAGATGATCCTGGTGTTCCAGTTCCCAAGCGCACTATGCACAGATGGAAACAGCTCACGTCAAAAAAAGGTTTGTGGACAGTGCATCATGTGGTGTAGTCTGTAGAGATAGAATGTTGTTGGGGGGAGGGGATTTTCATTCTATTAGTGAGGCAGTTTAGCCTTTATATAATCTGATAATCAGTGTTGGGTTAGGGTTAGATAATACAAAAGTTACAGTAATATATTACTTTTTGCTGTAACGAAGTAATGTAACGCATTACTTATGAAATTTGGGTAATATATTTCCGTTACAATGTGCAGTTACAACACATTTCAACCCGAAATTAAATGGTGTTTTGTTTTTTAAGAATGTACTAACATAGAGACATTCCGACACCAGACAAATTGTGCGGGTAGATTAGTAAAACTGGTGTGTTTACTCTTCAGGCTTCGCGTCGGGATCTTCGGGGCAGTTGAATATTATGCACCCTCTATTAAAAAAAGAGAACGGAGCGAAAAATACAAACAACAAATTGTGTCAGGTGCGCGTGACCTGCTCCGCTGCGCGTGCATCATTTCCAAAGTGCTTCCACAGCAGTGACACACATCTGTGGATAATCATTTATACGAAAATGGTTATAGCAACCATCACTAAATGCCAGCAACACTGCATCTACTGCAGACAGTAGCAACAGGTCAGATGGGGACATCACGTTACCCTCCGTTGTGGACACTAGCTTACTCCCGCCTGACTCGCCGCCCTCACCCCCGGAGCAGCAGTCTTCGTCTCCCCAAACTACGCCGCCCCTCTGCGGCCCGCAGGTGCCAGGATACCACGGCAAAACAGAGCCTGCCCAGGTATATCTAAACCAGTGGTTCTCAACTGGTCAGGCCTCGGGACCCACTTTTTACTTGGTCAATACAATACATACCCAACATTTTGAAGCACTCAAATCTATTCAACAACTAATCTTGCTGTAATATATACGCTTTTCAGCATACAATATTAATAAAAGTGAAGTACAGTGCATATATCCCTTATATCCCTTCACAGAACTAAAGTATGCTTTTAAAAAAGGTTTAATGAGATGATGGAATCAAAGCTGAACTATATAAAAAGGCACGCATGCTGAAAACCCAACCCCAGCTGGGGGGTCTGGGGGGATTCTCCCCCAGGAGATTTTTAGAAATACTAACATAAACTATGCATTCTGGTACACTGAGAAGAAAATAAATAAATCTATTACTACCCGACATATTAATAATATTTTATGCCATTGTTTGTTTTTCACTTTGTTCTGACATCTTGTTGTGAGAAGAGTAAAGAGGAGATAGTCTGTGTGACTTACTTTAAATTGTGGGTAAGGGTAGATAGCTCCCATTGTTCTGTGACCTGTCAGTCATCAGACCGGGGGTCATATTTCATTATGTGTTCATTTCTATCTGAAGTTGTAACCATGGATGTATAAAGAGTAGTTCTACCGCAAAGTTATTCTCCGTGGGGACTTCCGGCAACAATCTTGATTCTGATTGGCCAGAAGACTCGAAAAAACATCAGCAAAGATATTTTATTGAGAGATGA